GAACACTTGGAGGCTTGGATATGGGAAGCAACACCAAAACAGGGAGGTGCGTTCACCGGGGGGGAAGGATCCACGATGTCGGTGCCGATGGCAATCTCTCGAGCACCCAGGAAGCCCGAATATGATCACCCTGTCCGAGATCGGGATCATCTTCTAGAAGAAGAACAACGGCATAAACATAAACTTTTGGCGCTCCGCGCGGATTTCTTGGATCTGTGCTGGACCCCGGAGTGCGCCAGGGGCGGCGCCAGAGGCGCCGCCAGGGGGGCCCAGCGCGGATCCAAGAAATCTGCCAGGGGGATTCTAAAGTTTATGTTTATGCCGCTTTGCTTCTTCGATCTTCCCTCGGTGGAGGCACACCGCCGATGTCGGCGTTGGTGCCAACCTCCGGTCCTGCGACACGCCTTCGTTTCGCACTCCACCCGGTGCGCGATCGTGTGACGGCACAGGAGGCCCAGGCCGCTGGGCTGGTGCCGGGCCGAGGCTCCGTGCGCTCGCGGGCCGTGCGGGGTGTCACAAGGACGGGCCCCAAGCAGTGGACTGCGTGCAGCTGCCGCCTTGGGCAGCTCGGCGGATGGGGACGGTCTGGGGGAGGGGCCCGGTCGGCAGGAGCAGAGGAGCACAACAAAAGGCATCGGGGGTCTGCGAGGTTGCCTCGGATATCTGCGCTGGGCACTCCTCCTCGGCGCGCGGAGCGCGACAGGGGCGGCGCTGGAGGCGCCGCTAGGGGGGCCCAACGCCGATCCAAGAAATCCACGCGGACCTCAGCGAAATAAGGATTTTTCTCTTTCTGTCTTCACATGAAGGGAAGGAGCCCTAGAACCCCACCTCCTCTCGCTGTGAGGAAAGCATGGCGGGAAATATCTGACCCTTGTAGGCCTCCAACACAGTCAACAAGGACAGCTTGGGATGATACACCAGTCCTGGGGAAGGGGTCCACACCTCTTGGGGTCCGCTTTGTGAACAATGCACGACGTCGGGGTCTGTGAAGGGGCCCTGGAGGTCGAAATATCCAGGATTCTCTAGAGGCCTCCTAGATGGGATCGGAGTAAATGGGGTCGGAGGTTCGCGCCGCATCGCCGACGCATCGGCGATGCATCGCCGACACATTGGCGATGCACCTGCGACGTCGGCGATGCATCGACGACGTCGGCGTGGAGGATACCAGACTCCACATCGAGCCGCATCGCCGATGCATCGGCGATTCGGCCCGATCCTCCGACCCTCTGCATCGGCGGTGGACAAACCTCACTTTCATAAACCTCCCCCTAATGAAAACGGCCTGGGACCGAAACCGACGGACCTGGACCCGCAAAAATGACGGCCGCGATGCCCCCTCGCAAGCCGAAAACGGCCAATTCCTCGATCGACGTGTCAGAGTAGGAGGTCTACCAACCTCCGAACCTGCTCGGACGCAATCTGGGAGGCCTGGACGCTCTTGCCCGCTCCTGGGCTCCGCAAGCCTCCTCCTCCTCCCGGGCCCCAGGGCCGTCGGGAACCGGGCCCCCGGGGCGCAGAGAGCTGGCCCCCGGGGAACACCTCAGGAGGCGTCCTCCTCCTCCTCCTCCTCCTCCTCCTCTTCCTCCTCCTCCTCCTCCTCCTCCTTCTCCTCATATGGCCCGTCTCCACCGGGACCTGCTTCAAGACGAAGCCAAGGCCAGGATCAATTCGTGTGAGGCTAAATTTAGGGGAAAGAGAACTATGCACATGCACCGATTCTGGCCAGGCCCATCCTGAGCCCAGGATCGGTGCACACGCCCTCTGACCCTGGCCAGGAAGGTGTATGCACCGATCCTGGGTCAAGGATGGACTTTCCCCGAATAAAATCGAGGACTTTGAGATCCGGCGGCTCTGGAACATGTCTCGGGCGCCGCGGCCTTCTCAGAGCGTTCGGGAAGGCTCTGAGAGCGCTCCGGACCGCTCTGGAACGGATTTATCCTCGTCCTAGCCCCGCCCGACACCAGGACCCGCCTCCCTCATGCTGACAGGGGAGAGGAGGAAAACTCGGGGCAGGCCTGTGGCTCGTGTGGCCACCTCGTCACCCGCCGCCGCCGCTGGCCCGAAGCTCAGCTCCACAACTGCGCAACTAAGAATGCAACCAAGGGCGCGCACGAGCCGGTAATCCGGACGGCCCCGCTGTCCACCACCTGCTCCGCCGTCGTCTGAGTGGCCGTTGTCCCAGTCACGGTGGCCGTCGTCTCCGAGGTCGCCGTGAGCGTTTCCGTGGTCGAGCTGGTGGCGGTCGTGGTGTGCGGCGTGGTGCTGCTGGTGGCCGTGGTGCTGGTCTCGGAGGTGGCGGTCGCCGACGTCGAGCTCGTCGCCGAGGTTGTGTGTGGAGTCGACGATGTGTAGGTGCCCGTGCTGGTGCTGGTGGGTGTTGCCTCCACGGGGACGCACTTGCCCCAATTGAGGTCGTTCCCTTCGCCCGTCTCGGTGTAGCACAGCACCCCGTCTTCCTCCGACACGCTCGTGATGGCGAGGGCGTGGCCCGCCTTCGCGTCACCCGGATCGACCAAGAGGGGGTTGCCCTTGGTCAGCTGAGCTGCGCCGCCCTTGCCAGAAGCGTACATCTCGACGCAGACGCCCTGCGTGTCCGTCAGGTAGCACAGAACAGCAGTCTCATCCGAGAACCTCTCCAGGGCCATGTGCGACAATTCACCTGCTGCGATGGACAACTCTGCAAGCTTCGTGACCGTTGAGGCTGTGACTTCCACGTAGATGCACAGAAGGAAAAACATCTGCACACACATGAACTGCTTGAGGTCCGCGCCGATTCCTCGCATCGGCGCGGATCCCCCTCTCCCTGGCGCGCTCCGCACGCTGAGGGCGGTGCCGGAGGCGAGGTCGCAGGCGCCGCCAAGGAGGTCCAGCACAGATCCAGGAACCCAGACACCCGATGTCGTGATTCCTTCACAACGTCGACCCCCAAAGGTCTGGAACCCTTCCCCAGGACCGGCTTCTCGTCCTGGGTCGTTTTGTTGACGGTCCCGAGGCCCGGCGAGGGCCCCCAGAGGCCGAAAATAGCGAAAAACCGCCCGTCGTGATCTTTCACAACGCGAGGAGCTCTGGGATCCAGGAAATCCGCACAGGTCGCCGACAGACCATGTCTGCGCAGACTTCTGCCCTTCGGATGCAGTAGCCGCCCACTACGCCGCTGCTGCCGCTGCCCTCGGAGAAGCACACCAGCGCCGTGTCGGCGGCCAGGCGCTGCGCCACCACGCCCTGCGCGAATGTGGTGTCCACTGGCTCCCACAACTGGATGTCGGCAGCGATCGAGGGGGGGAAACGAGAAGGAGAAGGCCTTCTCAGAAGGGGGCGGGACTTCTCAGAAGCCCTCGCGCCCTCTGAGAAGTTGGTTGCGTCTTCGGGGAAAGCTTAGAACACTTCTCGGAAGGCCTGGGGACTTCCAAACCTTCTGAGAAACCCTTCGCCTTCTCAATTCCCCCTCTCGCTCGCGGCCGAGGATGGGCATGTAGTTGCCACCGGGAACCGTCAGCGCATCGGCAGAGATGTTGAGCATGCTGCAGAAGCCTCGGAAGTCCTCCGCAGGACCGCTCGTGTCGTCCAGATTGTCGGAATAGCACACCATGGCCATCGACTCCGAGAATCCCACCACAGAAGCGGCCTTGGTGAACGCCGCATTGACTTTCAACGTGCTGCTCACCTCCAGCTCGCTGCCGGTCCGCGTCAGGGCCGCGCACCTGAGGACCCCCAGCTTGGCCGTGCTGTCCTTGGATCGGTAGCACACGACGGCCGCAGAACTCGAGAGGCCCGCAACGGTGGTAGCCTCAACGTAGGTGGACTGCTCGGTGGAGCTCAAGTCCTCGTCGACGACGACATCGGGCCCCGCCTGGATGTCGGACGCCCCGAGGCTGATCACGTTGCAGGTGGGCCTCCCGTCGTTCCTGGGGAACCAAGCAACCACACAATCATCAATTTCGACACCCGAAATGGGTACGGAACAAATGGGCACGATGTACATCTTGTTTCCGTGCCCGTGCCGGCTCCCCACCCACCTGGCGGGGAGACCGCCAAATCGGACGTCCGGCATGCCCATGCCCATGCTCCATGCTCTTTTGGGGATCGACTGACCCGCGTCTATCAATCCAGACCTGGACCAGTCGGGCCTTGCAGGATCCTGCAGGATCCTGCAAGGATCCCGCACCCGGGCTCGGGTCAGAGCGCCCCCGACCCTGCAGGATCCTGCACGATCCGGCGCCCCGATGAGCGTTTTCTTTATTGGTGTTCCGACGTTTGGGCGGAAGGGGGGGGTGCACGAAGGGTTTGGCTCCAGACCTCTGTTGAATTGGACTGTTTGCAACCGTGCGTCCTGTGAAGGAGATTCCACCTGCTCGAAGCAGGCGCCAAAAACAGCCAAGATTTACACTCCACAAGGGGGGGTGCGAGGGCCCGCGCCGATCGGCTAATCAATGAATAAGAAAACGATCACCTGGCTGACCTGCGTTTGCATTGACCCCTGCTTCTTGAATCCCGACTCATGGTGGGGCCTCCTAGGCCAGGGGTCCCCAGAGGCCTGTGGAAGACCTCGAGGGCCCCCGCGAAAGGCCTCCACGGAGGGCCTCTGAGGCCCATCAGGAAAGGCAGAAACAGGGTGGACAACAAGAAGCACCGGGGTCCCACAGTCTCGCCATCGGATGGACGTCCATTCCCCGCGCACGTGCTGGTTTCGTGCGTGCTTTTGTTTTTGCCAGATGATCTGGGATGCTCCTCGATGGTCCTCGCCGAGAAAGCAAGAGGACACGTTCGAGCCATGCCCAGCAGTTGGCATGCGGGAAGAGCTGGCTACGTGCACCTGGGCTTGTGTTGCTCCCATCGCACTTAAAGACCACATCCCAGAAATAGTTTCGAGCACCCGGAGAAGTGTCGAATGAGTGTCGAAACAGTGTCGGACGAATGTCCCCCGGGGCCCGACGCGTAAAGGCCCTGGAAATGTTGGAGTACTTTTCTGGTGCTCGAGATCCTTTTTCTGGTGGTCGATGCTAAAGTAGGTTGGAACATCATTCGGGTCGGGCGAAAGGGGGGATAGCAAAAGGGGGGGTTGAGAATCAGCTCACGTAGCTGATTTTCCCGGCGCCTCCCGGCGCCGGAGGCGGCCATGTATCGAGAAATGGGCCCCTCGGTGAGGCCAAAACCAGCTGCCTGCAGCAGATTTCGTAACCCCCCCTTTAGTAAAACGTGGTTTAGTGAAAACGACCTGAGGCCCAAACCTGGCGGGCGCAAGCCTGGAAAATAACGGCCACGGCGCCCTCTCGAGAACCGAAAACAAAAACAATTCACTAATCGACGTGTCACGGTTGGGGGTTCTGTCCACCCCCGACCTTTCCCAATCCCCCCCCTTGCGCCCGGCCCGAATCAGAAACCTGGGCAGGAGTGGTGACCTCTGGAACTTTCCGTGCGCGGCTTTCGGGGGCCTCGGGGGGGGCGGGGGCGGGGGCAGATCCAGGCGCGCGCCAGCTCGGGGGAGGCCGCCCGCGGGTCCGGACCCAGGGGCACCCCGGCGAAGAGCCGCTCTCGCGCGACGCCGCAGGAGGGCTGCTCCCGGACCCCAGGGCACTCCCCAGGACAGGCTCTCGAGCCCGCATCGTCTGTTTTTTCTCGGCCTCGGGGCCCTTCCCAGCCCAGGAGAAGCGAAACACCTCAGAAGCCCTGACCCTCAGGACCCGTTTGAGGCGAAGCGATGGAGGGGACCGGCTCGTGGGGTAACCAAGTGGCACGCGTACCCTGGCTCTTGCACGAAGGGGCTGCGAACGACAGGAGGCTGTCGCCTCCTGCCTCCAGGAGTTTCCTTCTGTGGCTGGGGGGGGGGCCGGGGGGGAGGACGAACGACGAACGAACGAACGACGACGACGACGAGCGAGAAGAAGGAGGTCCGAGCTCCAGAACGCGGCCGTGCAGGAGAATCGTGGCCTGGCATCGGCGAGGCGTCGCCGATCGATCGGCCACCCGGGCCCTCGAAGCGGAGCGGCACCGCTCGGGGCGGGGGGCCCCTCGCCGATCGCGATCGGCGGGCCGGGCCCTCGGAGCCGCGACACCGACCGCTCGGCGCCTCGGGCCCCCCGATCGCCGACGGGCCCCCGACGCCCCCCCTTCGATGGCGACCCCGCGCGGCTCCCAGGCGGGGCGGGGGGCCGGGCCCCGATCGGCGACGAGTGGGCGCCGAGGCCACGGAGGGGACCCAGGGGCACACAGAGAAAGAGACACAGCTCCCAGGAGAGTCCCCATACTTTCTCGTATGTTCAAAGTTTTCGTCTTCCCCCCCCCCTACTTCCCATATCTCCCCACATTTTCCTGGGAGTTGACGATGAACTGCGTGTGCTTTTTTCATCACCTCCTGAACCCTCCCTGGGCCGGCTCCTCCCCTGCGTTGCCCCCCGGCTCCTGCCAAAGGGGGCGTAGCACACCACGCCGGCGGTCGAGTCGAGCTCCGCGAAGGACGTGGACGGTCGGGGGACGTCAACTCTCCACCCCACCGACCTTGGCCTGGCCTGTCCTGGGCCGGGCCGATCCTGGCCAAGGATCGGCGTTTGTGTGTGTGTATATATATATATATATATATATGTGCATACAACAGCACGTTATGTTTGCGCTTATGTTTGTGCTTGTGATTGTGTGTGCTTGTGTATGTATGCATGCATGCATGCATGCATGTATGCATGTCTGTATGTATGTCTTTATGTCTGCATGTACGTATGTACGTTGCTATGTCTGTCTGTTTGTCTGTCTATCTGCCTGCCTTTCTGTCTGTCTGTCTGCCTGTCCGTCTGTCTCTGTATGTATGCATGCATGCCTGTATGTATCAATGTGTGCATTCATGTGTGCATGCATGAATGTCTGTGTGGCTGGCTGGCTGTCTGTCTTGTCTGCCTGCCTGTTTGTCTGTCTGTTTGCCTCTTTGCCTGTATGTACGTATGTATGCATAGCTGTCTGTAGGTATGTGTAAATTCCCTTTCAACTACATATATATAATGTGTGTATATATATATATATATATATATAGATGTTCGCACGCCAGGGGTGGGGGAAAACCTTCCCCCCCCAAAACGGGACCATCAGGATCAGCGGCCCTGGCAGCCCCCTGAACGCCCCAGCAGAGGTCCCCATGGGCTTTCCGGGCCCCTGGAAGCCCTTGCTGGGCCTAGGCAACGGGCCCAAATCGGTCAGGCGGGCGGTCGAACGGCCCCGCGAGGGCCCCAGGAGACCCCAGACGCCCAGAAGACGCCCGAAGACGACCCAAAGAAGAACCAAAGGCCTTCGAAACTCCAAAGGCCTTCGAAACTCAAAAAAACATTCATGTCCCATGGATGTTTGCATCATTTGGGGAATGCTCTGTTCTTGTGTCGCCCGGGCGACCGAGACCGCCCAGGAGGCCCGAAAGCCGCCACACAGCTAGCCAAGAGGGCTTCCAGGCAGTCCAAGAGCCTGAAAACGACCCAACAGGGACTCAAGATTGCCCGAAGAAAACCACGTGACAGCCCAAGATGGCCCCAACCCGCCCCCCGAAGCATTCCAAATCGTGACCCGGTCGTTCAGGGAGACCGCGGTTGGAAGCAGGGTGGCTGGAGGAAGCCCCAGAGGCCCCCAAAATGGACCCGGGAGGAATACAGAATGCCCCAAGACGCCCATCACAAGTTCGGGAGGCTCCCAAGAGGCTCTCCAAGGAGGATCTTCGCCAAAAGAACCGAGGAATATGGACGAATATGGTAGGGCGAGAAGGAGGAAGAGAAAGAGGAAACGTGAACGAAGGATCAAGAATAGTATAAGTATAAGGATGACGTCGGAAAAAAAACAGCAAGGAATCATCGCTACATGGTATGTTTCACCTTCCTTTCCCTTCAGCCTGCATCCTAACGTTCAAGGACCAACATGCATGGAGCGAAGCGCAAATGCAGTCTTGTACCGTGCCTCTGGGCACGGAGGGGGCTTGTCCCCAGGTCCTTTGCCTAATCCCTGGAGCCTCACTCCCCAGTCCTGAGGAGTCTTTCAGGGCTCGGACCCCAAATTCCGAGATCTCCTGGGGTTTCCCGCGTGCCTTCTCTGCTCCCCCGCGGTTCGTTGCATGACTTCTTCGGGCCCGAGACGACCCCAAGACGGGCCCAGAGGGCCCTATGAGGCCCCCAAGACGGTCAAAGAGGGCCCCGAGTCGCCGAAAGATAGCTCCAAGACGCCCAAGATGGCCCACGGGGCCTCCAAGGCACCTCTAGATGCCTCCCAGAGGCCTCCCAAGAGGCTCGAATCATTGAATGCCCTTAAGTGTTTGAAGGATGTTGGCGTTCCGACGCTCCAAGACGGTCAAAGAGGCCCCCAAGACCACGCCAGAACGGCCCAAGCTGCCTCCAAGAGAGCCCCACGACGGCTTACGAGCGCCCCAAAAAGGCACCAAAAGGGGCCCAAGAGAGGGAACCCGAATCGAACATCCGCCCCAAGAGACCCCAAGGAGGCCTCTAAGGCGCCCAGGAGGCCCCGAAGAGGCCCTAAGAGGCCCCCAAACGGCACCCAAGAGGCATCCAAACTGCCTCCAAGAGGCCCCCGAGAGGCCTCCCAAGAGATGCGAACGAACATCCAATAGGCTTCATATTCACAACCCAGGCACGGTGGCGGGATGGGCCGAAGAGCATAAGATCCGCCGCCCCCTGTCGATTCATCGCAGGGGTGCCTGGCGTGCTGGACCTCTCGGTTTTGGTTTTGTCTCTTTTTCCAAAAGAACTCCCCCTGGCGCGTCGGCCCGTCCCGCCAGGGTCCCAGGAGGCCCTTCCAGGAGCGCAAACTCCGGAAACAATCCTCCCTGAAACGGCCGTTTCGCTCGGGACATCCTCAACAAACAAATCGCGAAGATGGCCCAACATGGCCTCCAAGTCCGCCCAAGATGGTCCAAGACGGCCTCCAAGACGGCCCAAGAGAGTCCAAGACGGCCCAAGACGGCCCAAGAGGCCCCCAGAGGCCTCCCAGACGGCCCAAGAGGCCTCCAAGAGGGCCCGAAGAGGCCGAACTCATTGATTTGTCTTAGGTGTTTGAAGGAGTTTGGAATTTGCTTCTTCTCGGCATCCCGACTGCTCAAGACGGCCCAAGAGGCACCCAAGATCGCCCAAGAGGCCCCCAAGAGGGCCCCATGACGGCCCAAGTGGCCTCCAAGACGGCCCCAAGAGGGCCCAAGAGACCACCACGACGTCGTCCAAGAAGGCCCGAAAGGGCCAAGACGTCCTCCAAGAAGACCTTCAAGATGCCCACGTGTTCCCCGAAGGCTTTCCAAACCGATTCTGGGAACACATGGTCCGATAGCTTGGCAGGTCTGGCCTCAACGTTCGGCCACATAGGCGCTTCCACAAAGGCAGGGGGCGGCGGTGATTCGCCGTAGGCGTCTTCGATACCACTAGACATACAGTCAATCCGCATCATAAGGACGCACGGTAAGGATGCAAGGGCCTTGGAGGGCCCAGTTGACGTTTTTCGAACGAGGCTGGCCAGCGGAAGTCGATGAGGATGGGTCGAGGGGGGGAGAATGCAAGGGTACCCGTGGGAGGGCTGGCAATCCTTAGCATGCGGGTTGACTGTATGTGTGCAAAGCTAGTAGACATTGCCGACAAACCTTGCTTCTCGACCGGCGCGGTGGATGCCAAACATTCTGAGTCGTGACTTGTCCGATGCCGAATCCCAGGCCAGGGATCTACTGACCAAGGTCAATCCAGACCGGGTTAATCAGGCTTTGCACGAACCTGCAAGATCATGCAAAATCCTGCAGGATCCTGCACTCAAACCCAGATCCTGCAGGATCCTGTAAGTTCCGGCGCTCTGACTGACCCCCGTTTCCGTTGAGCCCCCTATTGAGCCCCGACCAAGACCTCTCGAGGACTTCCCGGGGACTGGCCTTTCGTCCTGGATTGTTCTCTTGTGAAGGTCCTGGAGCTCGAAAACAGGGGCCCGGAAACGAGGGTCAACTTATGCCCCGATGTTCGTCAAGCCGCGTAAGAGGAAGCCAGGACGAGGATAACATCAGGTGAGGATGAATCGAGAATCTCTGAGATGCGGCGGCTCTGGAAGATGTCTCGTGCGCCGCGGCCTTCTCAGAGCGTTCGGGACCGCTCTGACAGCGTTCCCGAACGCTCTGGAACGATTTCTCCTCGTCCCAGCCCCGTCCGACCGTGGTGTGTCTTGGGTTGAAGTCCCCCGAGATGGGTTGTCTTGGGAGCTAACCACGACGCTGGCGCCCTTGAAAAGAGAAGGGAAACCCTTTCCCCCTTTCCAGACCAAGGACCAAGGCGAGACACGTTAGGCCTGGTTGGTTCCCCCCTTGAAAGGAAACACCCTGCCCACCACTCGTTGGTCTGGTCACGTGCCCGTAGAAACGGATGCCAATCACAGGGATAGTTGGCGGCGAGCCCAGGGGAAGTGAGAAGCGGCGAGCCTTCTCGAAGGCTCGGAAGCCCCCCGGCCCTCTGAGAAGATATCTATAAGCCTTCTCCGAAAGAGCCACAAGACACTTCTCCGAAGGCCGTAGTGGGGGCCTCTGAGAAGCCTCGCCGGCCTTCTGAGAAGGCCTCCTCCTGTTCACTTCCCCCCTCGCTCGCCGCCGAGATTGGGGAGACCAACAGGTACCGATATCGATACTCCCCAGACCTCTCCCGGGGTGCGTTCTGAGCAGGATTCGAGGCGAATCCAGCGGACGAGGGCCGCCCAGGAGGCCCCAAAAAGGGGGAAAGCAAGGGACGGGTAGAGGTATGGGTACCTTTTTTCCCTCCCCTGAGAGATGGGGATGCGCTCCAGGCTGGTAACCTGCACCCCTCCTCCTCCTCCTCCTCCTCCTCCTCCTCCTCCTCCTCCCCCTCCTCCTCCCCCTCCTCCTTCTCCTCCTCCTCCTCCTCCTCCTCCTCCTCCTCCTCCTCTTCTTCCTCTCGGTGCCTCGGACGCGTCCGCCGACGACACGGACTCGAGCCGCCTGCACGTGAGGCTGCCCGCCGACGGGTTCCCGTAGTCCTCGTAGCACACCACCGGGAGGCCTCTGCGGGGGGCAGAGCGCAGGGGAGGGAGTCGAGGAGCGGGGAGCTGTCCACGACCGCCGTCTGTAGGATCGATCTTTGGGGAGCTCGGCACAAGGGTTGCTAGACATCAAGCGTGCATTCACATTGATATGCCTGTACTGATGCACACATGCAATATGCTTCACCTGTGCAGGTATCTTATGTTTAGATGTATACAGACCTACATGCATAGAGCTGTGAATATATCTGTACACATTGGCGACACCAGGGCCCATATTGGATCCGTTATCCACCGCCTGCCGAGGCCATCGACAATGGATCCCCAAGGCCCAAGGCGGTGGGGCGCACTGATGAGTGAGGAGGCTGCGCATAAGTGGATCGCAACGGCGATGAGCGAGTGCCGAGGCCAACCTGGAGGAAGCTCTTACTGATCTACATCGGGAGCTGACCCGCATCCTGGAATCACCAAATCGATACCCTGCCAGCGTCCGCTCGGGGTAGGAAGAGCATGCTTCCTACGCCTTAGGAGAGGTGTAGAGAAGAATCGAATGCTACATATATGCTAGACTGAAGGACCATAGTCTCAACTGTTCCAAGAACGTAACGTGCCCCTCCTCTTCCCCCTTCTGCAAAGGGGGAACGGCAGCCCGAACGAGCACGCCTGGTGTGACTAAAATCGCGACGCCACGATCTCAGGGCTCCTCCCTCTTCGCCAGAGTTTCCAGAAGTCCAACGCCGATCCGAGAGATCCGCGACGACCTCCGATAATGAAGGGGCCCTGGGACACACAAATAAATACACACAAATAGCAGGATTTATTATATTTTCTCATATTTTCTGGGTTTTGTCTTCCCCCCCCCACTTCCCATATTTGTTCCTATATTTTCTGGGCAGTCGACGATTAATTGTGCTTGTGCAGGCTGTTCTCCTTCGGCCCAGACCGAGGCCGAGGGTGCCCTCGGGCCGAGGACGCAGGAGAGCATACGATCATGCGGGCCCCAACAATACACACCACCACCACCTCCACTCCCCCCTCGCTCCTCCACCCTCCTCTTCCTCTCCTCTCTCCTGGGAGAGGGAGGGGATGAGGGAAATGGTGGTGGTGTATACATTTTGGCCTCGTATGCGAGGGCGCCCGAATCCAGAGAACGCCAGGGCGCCTTGCTGCCGAGCACTGCCCCTGGCGCTGGCGTTGGCGGCAGCGCCGTCTCGAATTTGTTTCTGGAACGGTGCCTGCGGCGTCGGTGGCCGGTCGGTGTGACGTTGGAAAGATCAAAGTCTAAACTTGGAACCCCCAACCGCCGTCTCGTGATTCCAAATGGGCGACGATCCAAAACGGGTCTCACGCGGGACGACGTAGCGACCTTACGCGGTTGCTTACGCGGGCCGCTGGTACGGCACGCCACACTGGAGACGAGGGCGCTTACGCGCGAGCTTACGCGGGAAGCTTACGCGCCAATGTCGGCGCAGGCGACCCCATTTTTTTGCGCCGCCCAATTGTCGCTCCAGTGGTGGTCGGCAAGGTGGGGGTCCTGCGTGGACCGTCTGCAGAAGCGGCGAACCACCGTGCAGATGACGGAGCGGTGGTGAGGGCCGGTGCGGGTGGCGTGTGCGCAGGCAAACGGCAACAACCGCCGTCGCACTAGGATCAAGTCGAGCCTGTCCTCCTACAGGGGGATTTTCGACGAAAGATAAAAATACCCCAAACATTGTCAAAACATAGTCCAAACATAATCGGGGGACTATTTTTGGGGTACTTTTTGGCCATTTTGGAATATGTTTGGGGTATATATATATATATATTGTTTTATCTGTTGTCGAAAATCCCCCTGTAGGGGGACACGCCCGACATAACACTGGGAGCCCCCGAGGCGCCCAATTCCCAGGGGGCAGGCTCTGAGGGAGGCTGGTCCTGAACCCTGGGGCCATCCCCCGAGGTCCTTTCTGTTGTTCCTTGCCATCGCTCGGACGCTCCCTCTTCGTGCATTCGTCGATCTCGTGAATTTTTCTGCATTTCCGCACGTTGATTCAAAATGCTCCTCGATGGTCCCCGCCGGAGAATGCACACGCCCGAGCGATGCCAGACCTCGTCCCGAGCCGTTTTTGACGACCCCGTGGCCCGTGGAAGGCGAAACCTCGGGACCCCTTTCCCTCAGGACCCGCCCCCCTCTGGAGGAACAGTCTCTTTAGGAGCTCCGCGCGGCCTTCTTTCGGCAGCGAGCACAGGGTGCGATACGATGCGATGCGATGCGATCACCGTTGCGGACAGCGTCCAGGCCTAGAGCAGACCAGGTGGGTGAGGCCATGGCCTCTAGGATATGAGGTGTCTGGATACATGCAATGCGAGACATATAAAAAGTTAGGAGGAGAGGGGGAGGAGGAGGAGAGGGGGAGGGGGAAGGGGCGGGCCATCTCAGAGAGCTCGGAAGTCCCCCGGCCTTCTGAGAAATTCTCTAAACCTCCCCCGAAGACACATAAAGATTCTCGGAAGGCGCGAGGCCTTCTGAGAAGTCTCGCCGCCACCCTCCCGAGAAGGCCTTTTCCTTCCTTCTCATTCTCCCCCCCCCTCGCTCGCCGGCGGCGTGGTTCTTGGATCGGCGCCGGACCCTCCTCCCTGGCGCGCGGAGCACGCCGTGGGCGGCACCTCAGGGGTGCGGGGGGGCACACCAATCCAGGGCACCCGCGCGCAGGCAGCCCATCCGAGAACTGCTGCCTTTGTGCCGACCTGTCCCCTCCTACGCGCGGCGGTCCGCGCTCCCCTCGGCCTCCGAAGCTGCCCCCCACGATGCTCACGGAGCCGCCCCTGTTGAAGTAGGAGGCGTTGCCGCTGAGGACGACGTCGAAGGATGCTGCGAGGCGGAGGTTTATCCATCACCACTGCCTGAGGGATCGATCTTCGGGGACCTGGGCAGGGAAGAACAGTCCCACCGCTCCACGGTCGGGCCTGGGCTAGAAGAACATCCTTCAAAAACATGAAACCCTCCGCCAGCCAAAGCACACAGAGCATCCACGGGTACCCTCCACAGGATGCACAAGAACATCCAATAAGCACACAGAACATTAGGGTACCCTCCTCGAATCGATTTCGATCTTATACCTCGGTCCAATTGTACCCAGAATATCAGACGCGCGCAATGAACACGGCTCTCGGCTGCTACACCCGGCACCACGACCGGGCCGAACACGCGCGCAACGCGCTGCATGACGCACTGGCTCTCGATTTTATGGTTTGTTCCTACCTTCACCTCGCAGATCTTCACACGGTCGCCAAGATCGATGCATTCCTCCCTGCACCCATGCCCGTCCCCTGTGACTGTCGGGCCGTTGCTCGGACCTACGGCGGCCGTTCGGAACGATCCGGGCACCCCCTGGACGCTCTCGGCGAGGCGCAGCTGCCAGAAGGCATCCCGAGGCAGGAAGATCACCGAGAACCGACGGTGATGCCCGAAAACCTCGAGCCTACATCGCCCCCGTGGCGGTTCCGGTGGCAACTCGTGGGAACCTCCCATACCATCTTGCTGGCCCTGGCGAGTCGACGCTCATCGACTCCGAGCCAGTCCTATTATCGATGACCAGACGCTGATCGGCGCTAGTGCACTCCAAAGACGGAGTTGCGAGAGTATACAAGGCTCCCATGATGTTCGGGGGCGCGAAAGCGTGGATTACCGATCCATGAATTTGGCGCGCGGTCGCCAAATCCATGGATCGGGGAAGTGCCCTCCCCAAATGCGGCGGCTGCCGCCTTGCTCGGCGGCGGAAATCCGCAACTTCCCATGGAAGCGGAACCTGTCGCTAGTCCACGCCCCCTGCCATGTTTGCGATCGCCTGAGTATACACGGCTCCCATGACTTGCTACCGAATCGGGCGTTGGCAGAACTCGGTTCAGTTGAACCTGGTTCAGTGATGTGTACTGGGGGACGCCCCCCCGCCCCGTTCCACGAACCGGAACTGCCGTCACCCGAAAAAACACCATCTGCGGCAGACCTAATTAGTCATTCTGCCGATTCAAGGGCTCCGGGGCCCTACCACTAAACGGGTCCACTTGACCGTCGTCCTCCTCCCTCCTCCTCGAGTCTACGAAAGAGAGCCCAGAACAGGGTGAGGAGGGGGAGGAGGAGGAGGAGGAGGAGGAGGAGGAGGAGGAGGAGGAGGAGGAGGAGGAGGAGGAGGAGAAGAGGAGGGAGGAGGAGGAGGAGGAGGAGGAGGAGGAGGAGGAGGAGGAGGAGGAGGAAGAGGAGGAGGACGTAGGAGGAGGACGGAGGGGACGGAGGAGGGAGGGGAAGCAGGAGGAGGAGGGCCGAGTGTCTGTTCCCCGCCGAGAGCTTAGGGGGGGGGGGGTGCATCATTCAAGACCCTCTACCTGGGGCTCTGGCTATACCCGACCGGAGGCGGTGGTGACGGACGGCCCCCCGCCTCGCGCATACGTCGTCGGCCGCGCGCGCCGCGCGCGTGGCCAGCAGCGCGAGCGCCAAGCGGAAGCTCGGCATGGCGGGCGGGCGTTGGGCGCCGGGCGCGGCGGTCGGGGGGGGGCTGTGCCAGGAGGTGCTCGCAGCTGTCTGTGGCCGCTCTCGAGCCGCGAGGATCGAGGGTCGAGGAGGGAGGAGGCTTCTTGGCTTGGGCGCCCGAGTTATCCGGGGTAGCTCGGGTCCGGGGTAACTCGGGTTTGGATTCCCGAAAAACGAACCCGAGTCATCCCTGACCCGAGTTACCCCTGATGATTCGGGGCTCTGATTGGCTGTCTTCGGCCTCGAAGGGCCCTCGCCGAGGCCCCGAGACCACCCACAAACGACTCGCGATGCAACACCGGCCCCGGGGAAAGGGTCGGGACTTCCCGGGGCCCCGTAGTGAAAAGTCAGGACATCGCATGCCTGGGGAGGGAGAAGAGGAGGAGGAGGAGGAGGAGGAGGAGGAAGGGAGGGAGGGGCAGAAAGCAAGTTAGGTGCGCTCGCGTCAACATCTGACATCCTACCCCTCCCTCCCATCCCTTACCATGGCGCTGACTTTCTCTATCCACGGACGCGTGTCGTAGCGGACCTGTGGCTCCGCGCGCGTGTGCGTAGTGGGTGGTGGTGCGCGTGCGTGCGTGCGTGTGTGCGTGGTTGTGGTTGTTGTGGTGGAGGTGTGTATGTGTGTGTGTGTGTGTGTGCGTGTGTGCGCGTGTGCTGTGGTGTGACGTGGTGTGGCGTCTTGGTGGTTTGGTGGTGGGCCAGGTGCGTACGTGCGTGATGGCGGTGGTGGTGGTGGTGGTGGCGGTGGTGGTGTGTGTGTGTGTATGTCTGTGTGTGTGTGCGTGTGTGTGTGTGTGTGTGTGCGTGCGTGTGTATGTGTGTGTGTGTGTGTGCGTGCGTGCGTGCGTGCATGTGTGTCTGTGTGTGCGCGCGTGTGATGTGGTGTGACGCGGTGTAGCGTGGTGGTGGTGGGTGGGGTAGTGCGGTGGTGGTGGCGGTGCGCGGTGGTGGTGCGCGTGCGTGCGTGCGTGCGTTGGTGGGTGGAAGTGGCGGTGGGTGTGCGTGCGGCGGGGCGGGGCGTGGTGCGGCGCGGTGGTGGCGGGCGGATGGGCGCGCGAGAAAGAGGCCCGCGCTGGGGCGAGAACGCCATCCTGAACGACGGAGGCAAAACACCGATCCGAAAATGAGGCCCACGCTGCAGCGGGAGCACGATTCGGAACGATTCGGGAGCAGAAATGAGGCCGGCGCCTCAGCGAGAGCAGCATTTTGAAAACAAACGCAGGCGAAAACCCAACTCCCGGGAATCCTGTGTAAAAAACAGTACGCGGGGGGGGTCTACTACTCCCTGGACGCCATCAGGGGAAGAGGGAGAGTAGCATTCATATTGAGTTATTGTAAAAGAGGGAGGGACCGAGGATGAGGAGATCCCCACCCCTAAGATCGGCGGGCCCAGGACGATGACAGTCTGGGGAGAGACAATGCGCCCTCAGAAGCTGGGCGGACGCTCAGGATCGGCACCGAGACGAGGCGGATGTCGGAAGCTGCCAAGGGGTTCTCTTGTCCGGGAAATTCCTGCTGGGAGGACACAGGTGATGGATAATCGACATGCGCGTCGGATCGGCCAGCATCGGAACGGAATCGGAATCGAATCGGTCGAGCCAAAATGCACAATAGCGCCATGAAACATCAGGCCGCATCCGGTCGTCGGAATCGAATCGGCCGGACTCGATATCAAATCGGGTCGGAATCGGCCGCTGATGGGAGGGACCGGGAGGGAGGAAGAAAAGACGGGGCGGGGGAGGCGGAAGAGGGGTTCACGGGAGAGAACGGGAGCCGGAAGGAGGAGAGGGGAGAGAGGGGGGCGGGAGGGAGGCAGAGGCGAGGGGGGAAGAGGGGGGGACGGGCAGTCATGATGCTGGGGCGGTGGACGTGAAGGGAACGGGGAGCGGCAGCGTCGAGTCGGGTCGCCGGAACATCGGAATCGAATCGAATCGGACGGCCCATGGGGCCCAGCGAGGGCCCCCAGAGGCCGAATATTGCTCCATACCTCCTGCTGCTGTTATTTCATCGGGAGGAAGCGGGGGAACCTCGAGCAACGAGCAGCCGTCGCGGCCGCCGTCGTCGTCTCGAGGGCGCTGCGGGCCGACCTGTACGCAAGGATGACCCTGCGCAGGCGGCAGGACCCACCTCTGGCAGCGCTGGTTGCGGGGGCCGCGGGGGGATCCAATCCAGGCGCAAGAGCCCGTGCTCCAGGGAAGCTGTGTTCGCGCCCCGCGCGGCGCGGAGCGCGAACAACTTCGCGTTTTCGCGCCGCATCCCTGGGAGAGGAGAGGGTGACGAGGAGAACGAGGACGAGGAGGATGGGGAGGACGAGGACGAGGAGGACGAGGAAGACGATGAAGACGAGTGAGGATGAGGATAGGTGAACCTCGAGCCGCGAGCCGCGAACAACTTCGCGCCCCACGTGGCGGCCCTTCGTGCTGGGGCGGTGCTGGGGGGCCCCCGTCGGGGGCGCCGATGGGGGGGAATAGCCCAGGGGATGGCCATACAGGTATCCGGAGGCGACGACGGTCCACGCCTTCGGCGATGCTCCTGGGCGAACAGCCTATCCTCGCCTCCGACCCTCTAGGCCCGCCCCAACGAAGGTCACCCTGGCGAGAGGCTACCCTCACGTGCCGCGGGGGCGCCTTGAGCCCCCCTGGGGTGCTTTTCTCCGCGAGGGGAGGAGGCGGGGGAAACTCGACCCTCGAGCAGCCGCCGGCGCCGTCGCCGCAGCGAGGGCGCCCGAGGCCGGGGGAGCCGCCGAGGAGCGCCGCAGAGGCCCCGAAAAGCCTGGAGCCCGGCGCGCCGCCGCGCCTCGGGCGGCCGCCGAAAATCGCCGCCGCCGCCGCGGGCGCCTTGAGCCCTCCGGCGGCCAGGCCGGCGGCGAACGTGGCGGCGTGCTGCTCCGCGATGCCCACGTCTGGGGGCAGGGCGGCGGCGGCGGCGGCGCGCGCTCGCGGGGCGGCGCGGCTGCGGCTGGCTGGCTGCTGCTCTGCGCCCTCCTCCTCCTCCTCCTCCTCCTCCTCCTCCTCCTCCTCCCAGTCCTCCTCCTCCTCCTCCTCCTCCCCCTCCTCCTTCTCCTCCTCCTCCTCCTCCTCCTCCTTCTCCTCCTCCTCATCCCTCCGTTTGAGGGCTGCTCGTCCCTCGGTGCGCCCGCGCTCTTCCCCCAAAGCTCCCCGAAGGCTCCTCGGGCTATTGCGCAGGACTCCTACGCATCTGGGTCTCGGCTTGGCCTTGTGCCTCGGCGCGCCTACGTTCCCCGGCCCCTCCTCCTCGTCCTCCCCCTCGTCCTCCTCCTCCTCCTCCTCCTCCTCCTGCTCCTCCTCCTGCTCCTCCCGCTGCCCCTGTTCCTCAGCTCCTCCTCGGCTCCTCCTCGGCTCCTTCGATCCCTCCCCGCCTCCCGCTGGTGGCACTGCTGCTGCTGCTGTTGCTGCTGCTGTTGCTTCTGCCCCTGCTGCTGCTCCGTGCCCTCCCCCCACCCATCGTCCTGCGGGGCCTTCCTTCGACCCAGACCGACGTCCAGCATGTTCGGGTCTTGAGGGTCGAATTTGTTGGAGATTTGCGTTGGGCCTTGGAGACGTTCCAGCCTCCAGTTGCTTTTCAGAATCTGCGCGTCGGCGAAAGCGTGCCCGGGGTGCCCGTACAGTCCTGGACGGCCGCTGGAGACTCGAGTGACGACCCGAAAGCCAAACCACCCCTCGTCGCGAAGCAAATCACGCCAGACGATGTGTCTCAGCTCTCGGCCTCTGGGGGCCCTCGCTGGACGCCAGGACCGTTCAAAACGTCAAAAACGACGTCGAAGATCTGAGGATCCCCCCCCCCGCGCCCCTCCCCTCACCGCCATCCCTTCCTCTCCGCCTCCTCCTCCCCTCGCCCCCTTGCTCCCGTTCCCTCCCCCCTTCTAGATGGGTCACTCATTCCTCAGGACGGTACCTGAACTTATTAGGCCTCGTCTTCGACAAAGTGGTTGCGTTCGACATCACTCGCTCATTCCTGAGCTGCCTCGCTCGTCGAGTCGTGAATCCTCGTCTTGTCCGCTAGCTCTTACCCCCCCCCTGTCCCCGCTCTCGGTGAACTCGGACGCGTATGTGTGTTCCCTCCCCTCCACCGACGTCTCTGTCATCCCCCTCCAGCTTTTGGGCGGATGGTCACTGCGGCCACGCGTGAGGTACACCGTCCGACACCACGGCCTGCGCGTCGCCGTCATAAGCCGCTAGTCTGCAACAACGGCTTCTGCAGCCACTACCATCGTCCCTCTATTCCCCCCCCCCATCCCTCCCATCGCTCCTGCTATCCCCCCACCCCCGTCCTATCTTCCCGCTCTCCCGCTGCACCCCGCATCTGCCTATCCTCGACGCAGCCTGAAGCGGAGTGAAGCCTTCCTCGCGCTCTCAGTGCTCAGGGGGCACGAGAAGCATTGCCGACCACCTTCCACTCCCCCTCCGCACCTTCCTGCTCCTCCTTCTCCCACTCGCCCCTCCTCTCTCCCTTCTCCAACTCCTTCCTCTCCCACGCTCGCCCCTCCTCCTTTCCTCCTCCTCCCCTCCGCTCTGGCCCTCCTCTCCCCCCCCCGCCCCCTCCCCACCCTCAAGCAAACCTTTCCCTCGTCCCTCTCCCCTATCCTTACCAACCTCTCCATATCTTATCCGTATGAGCGCTGCTGGCAAAATGTCAGCGTGCCTCCGCCACCCTTGCGTTTGTCTCCACCCATACGGCTCCCGTCCTTGTGGCACATGTGCATCTTAGGTGTCTCGGCTGGACCGTTCCCTGCGCTAATGAACTGCACTTGCGCTGCGGCCGCAATTCGGGATCGATGCCTCGCACCCCTCTTTTCCGGATGGTGCTCTCGCCCCAGCGCGGGCCAGGGACTGGTCCCTGGTGCCGCCCCCCCTTGCCCCATCCCCAGACCCCCAACGTCAGGTTTTTTTGAATGTTATATATATATGTATAGATTGAAACGTCGACCCAAGAGGCCGAAAGTGGTGAAAACCCTCCCGTCGTGATTTTTTCACAGCGCGAGGGGGTCTGGCCCTCCGCCCTAACCCCCCCCTCGTCCAGCCGGTTCCCGCTTCCTGGTGGCCGCCAGAGCTCGGCGAACGCAGCCTGCCCTCGTCCAGCTCCCCTTGCCCCCGTTCCTCCCGCTCTGGTGGAGAGTCCTCCTCCTCCTCCTCCTCCCCCTCCTCCTCCCCTCCTCCCTCCTCCTCCTCCTCCTCCTCTCCTCCTCCTCCTCCTCCTCCTCCCTCCTCCTCCTTCCTCCTCCTCCTCCTCCTCCTCCTCCTCCTCCTCGCCCCCCACCCCCCTCTCCCCCTCCTCCTCCTCCTCGCCTCCCGCAGCCTCGGGTCCTCGCTCCTGGAAATCGCATCCCCCATGCACAGCAGAGGCTCGACCACAAGACACCTTCCTCAAGAAGCCCAGCCCTGAGACCCCAGGACGTCCACAGGTTTTTGGTGTCGGAAGGTCACGCTTTCCATAATTCCACAGTGAAGCCATCGAAACCTAAGAGAACCCAGGGCACCCTGGAGGCAAGCAGGGCGTTTCTTGGCATCCCCGCACGTTCGGAAGCCACCCGCTCAGATGGCGCACAGAACGTGATGCTTCAACTCCTGCGGTCCCCCATCTGGGCATCAAGGCCTGCTAGGATCCCCCAATCGGCGAGAAGAAACGACCCAACGCAGTGGGAAGGGATGGGCGGGATGGGTGGGGTTATGTTGCTTGCATCGTACTTGAGGATCAAATCCCAATCCCAATAATCCTAGAAACCATTTCGAGCATCCAGAAAAGCATCGAAACCGTGTCGAACGAGTTCGCCTTCCAGGGCCCGACACGTGAAAACCCTCCAGTTTCGGTACTTTCTTGGTGGTCGAAATTCTTTCTGGCAAGCAAGGCAAAATAGGTCGGAAATTCATAAGGGTGTGGTGGGATGTGCCGTGCGGGCACCAGGCATCGGGAACCGACGCCCTGGCACCTCAGGGTGGGCGGCGGATCTAGGCATCATTTTGGCCCAGAAAGGGGCCGGAGCAGATCCACATGCACCGCCGGCTGATGTCCACGAAGATCGATCCCCCTCAGGCGGTGGTTACAGTTAGGTCGAGCATGTCCCTGTACAGGCGGATGTTGGAAGATCTGTACAGATAGCCAAAGCATAATCCACACATAATCAAAACAAGTAGAAACATCGTCTCCAGACTATGTTTGACTATCTATGGAGATTCCCCCTGCAAAGGAACATATCCGACTTAATGATTTCCAGCTTGGGATGGCTTGGCCTCCCTCCCCTCCCCTCCCTCCCCCTCCCTCATTCCGCCCCCTCGCCTTCCGTTGATCCGAAGCCCATCCCCCCCCGTCCTTCTTCTCCCCCCTCCCTCTCCTCGTCCTTCGGTGGACCCAAAAGGGAGTCCAGCTGAAAGAGGGTGGTGCAATAGATTTGGGGCAATTGTATTGTAAATGTATTGCGCTGGAGAAGTGGATTGCGTTGTGTTGAAATTCAAGTATTGCCCGCGAAAATCCAGCAACACATGTGCGCCCAAGCTACCCCTCCCCCCTTCCTCTCCCTCCTATGCCTTTCGGGTTGTAACTCGGGCCTCCAGCGGCCGTTCGGGACGACTCGGGCACTCCCGGAAAGCTCTCGGCCAGGCGCAGCTACGGGAACGCATCCTGGGGCACGAGCTCTACCAGGAGTCGGCAAGCACACGTGCCCGACTCCCAACACTCTCTCCCCCTTCTCCCCCTTCCCCCCCGCCCTTGCGGGAAACACAAAATACCGGTGCCGCTGCTCCACGGACCTCTCGGGGGGTGCGTTGTGGCTAAGATCTCTGGGCGAATCCAGCCGTGGCGACGAGGGAAACTGAGCGGTATCGGGGCCTCTGACGTCTTCGTCGACATCGCGGCGGCGTTGCACTTGAGCAGGGGTCTCGTCCAACCACTGCGCGCCCATGGACTCGCCCACCCGCCGCGAGAGGATTCTGCGAGAGGATTCTCTACCCACCCGCCCACCCTGGGAGCCAAGATGCGCACGGAAGGGGGGGTCGGGATAGGAGCTGCTGTCCTGACCTCGACTGGAGGGAAGGAGGGAATCAAACATACAATTCAAGAATACAGAAAGCAGTCATTCTGCCCACACACGTGGTGCCACGGCCGCGCCAAGACTCCGCCTGGCAGGATGAACCCCCAGTCATGGACGTCCTCTGCTGGACTTCGGCACTCCGCGCCCTCCTCGTCCTCCTCCCTGCTCGGAGCCCTGGACGGGACCAAGGGGGCGGCGGGCTGGAGGTGCGCCTGGCTCGGGAAGGGACACGCCGACCGGGCATCGGCGATATCCCGCGGACAGACCGGCCGACAGGCCTCCACTAGCCACGCCGCAGGCTCCTGGGCGGGGTGGGTCATCGGGCCCCTACTTTGGGGAACGAAGAATTACATAAACATAAAAACTCGGCGGTCCGCGCGGATTTCTCGGATCCGCGCTGGGGACTCCTCCTGGCGGCGCCTCCGGCGCCGCCACTGGCGCGCTCCGCGCGCCAAGGAGGGGGGGTCCAGCCCCGATCCGAGCAATCCGCGCGGACATCAGAATTGTTATGTTTATGTCATTGTTTGTTCCCCTCCTACTGGCGGTCCATGGACCAGGGGGAAGCATCCGCGGCCGCGCGCCCCTCGATCGAGGGGACGGCCGGCCGCCAGCCCTCGCCCCCTCCGCCGCCGCGCCCGCCGCCCTCGGTCCTCGCCGGCCTCGCGAATCCTCGCTAATCCTCGATAGTCCTCGATGTCCTCGAAGCTCTGCCCTCGATGCTCGAACCTCGAACCTCGACTCTCGAGCCTCGATCCTCAGCCTGGATCGGAGGAGGACAGGTACCCGTGGGGATACCTTCTGCTCGTTTTTTCCCCCTCTCTGCCCGGCAACCGCCTCCAAAATTGTGGTCAGAACACATCCCGGGAGACTTCCGGGGAGTAGCGGCATCGGTACCCTTTGGCTTCCCCGAGGAGAACGCCGGCCCTGGCCGGAGGCGGGGGCGCGGCGGGCCGAAGGTGCGCCCAGGCCCGAAGCGCTTCTCGAAGATGCCGATGCCGGTGCCGCCGGGCATCGCGGCCGTGATGGCCACGATCTTGTCGTCGACCTCGGCCGCCCGCGGCGGGGGTCCTGCACCTCCGGGCCCCGGCGTCGTCCTCCTCCTCGGACGTCTCCTTCTCCTCCTCCTGCTCCCTGCCTCCACCTCCTGCCCCCTCCCCGCTCCCGAGTCCACCGCGTCCTCGTCGCAGGCGCCGTCGATGTCGCCGTCCTCCTCCTCCTTCGTTTCCTGTTCCTCCCCCTTCCTCTCTCCAGCCCCCCGCTTCTCAACCGCGTCCTCGTCGGCGTCGTTTTCCTCCTCGTCCACCTCCTTCTCCTCCTCCCGCTCCTCCTCCTCCTCTCTCCTCCGCCTCCTCCTCCTCCATCATCCTCCCTCACCTCCTCCTCCTCCTCCTCCTCCTCCTCCTCATCCCGCCTCTCTCATCCTGCTCCTGCCCCGCCTCAGTCTCCTCGTCGAGACCCCTGATCCCCCCGTTTGCGGTTTGGGTCGCCCGTCTCCGCGGTGGCCCCTGGCCCTGGTCCCCCGCTATAGGTGTATAACAATACATAGATGTCGATATACGTTCACATTTACATACTTATGCATATGTGTGTATATGTAGGCTATATACATACACGCATGTAGATAGGGCGCGTTTCTTGATGTTCGGCGATGACGGGCGTCATGGGGGGGGAAAGGGCGGGGGGGGTATGACGTGACGCCCCCCCCGCCGTGTGGCTCCGGCACCACAGCCGCGCCCGCGCGCACGACGCGACGAGCGACGAACGACGAGCGACGACGACGACGCGAGCAGCATGTAAGTGGCGATCTGCCCATTGCGCCTATGTACACCACAACGCTCGCGTGCACCACGCCGCGCGTGTGCACCACAGCGCCTTCGTACACCGCAACAGCCGTGTGTAACGCACCGCCCGTGTATACCACAATACTTGGGAGCACTACAGCGCTGGTGTACATACACCGCAACAGCCATGTGCAACACAACGCCTGTGTACACCACTGTGTTTGCGTGCGCCGCAGCGCCTGTACACGCCACGGCGCCTGTCTACACCACAGCATCCGCGTGCAACGCAGCGCTGGTGTACACCACAATGCCTGCATGCATAGGACAGGTAGAAGGAGCATGTACGTCAGGATCTGCTGCGGACAACTAAACGCCACGCCAGGAAAGTTCTGATAATCGAATGCGACGTTTTTCCCTCCCTCCTCCTCCTCCTCCTCCTTGTCTTCCTTTTCCTCCTTCTTACCCCCTGTCGTGCGGCTTGGCGTTACAACGCATGTGCGCATCTCAGCGTGCACCGCAGAATGGTCGATTGAATCGGTCCACTTGGTTCTCGGACGGCCAGTTTAGCTGGAGCCTCCTGGACGCAAATGGGAGTTAGGGTGATGCGGGCGGACTCGGGGGAACTCGTAGATTCCAGCGGCGCTCCTTCGTCCATGAGGATTTGTTTTCCAT